ACAAGCTTTCTGAAGCAAAGAAAAAATTTGAATCAAAGCTAGATGAGTATGAATCAAAGCTGTTTATAATGGAAAAAGAATATAAAGCCAATTTGTCTGGAATGAAGGAAGAGTATGAAGCAAAAATTTTGGCTACAACAGAAAATTACGAGGAACAATTATCTATCAGTCGTGAAGAATGTGAGATAAGAGTAGCAGAAGTAATGGAGGAGCTTACCTTGAAATCACGTCAAGCACTCGAAAATGCCATTGTATCAAAAAATGAAATATTATCATCCTTTCAGTCTCTACCAATAGCCAGCATTCCTTCATATAAAGCTCAAAATGAAATGATTCAAGCGCATTACCTTTCACAACGAGGAAACATGAAGAAAGGAGACAGATGGTTAGTAGCTACAATATGTCAGTAAATTATCAAAGTTCTTAATAGGTATCTTGTTGATGTGGAATGGTTCAGGCAGTGAAAGAAATACACTGGATTTGATTCATGGGATCAAAATAGTGCTGGACAAGCAAGTGCTCATCCAGGACCAATTGTTAATGGCACTTTGTTTAAAGGTAAAGTATATCATTCCAACATTTTTTTCACGCTGAGGATTTGATTATATTTTGTGGTAATTATTATAGCAGTTCACATTTGAGTAATTTGACAGTATTGTACTTTTCAATTGATCAATAGTGCATGATTATAGTAATGTGATTGTCATAACAGCCTAAGCTTAATTTTGTTAATTTTGCAGCAGTTGTTACTCTTGTTTTTAGTTAATTGCATTTGAATAATTAATAGGCAATGTATCTGAAACATTAAAGGATCATCTAATTGAAGAGCAACACTATGCACTACTACCTGAGCCTGCATGGAATCTTTTACTGAGTTGGTATGGACTATCAGTAGGATCAAGACCTATTATTAGGTAATAGATATTTGCTTTATTGTATGTAATATGCTTATTAGAACTGTAGTAGAGTATGGTTCATGTACCAAGCACTTGAATGTTGAAGTTTACTTGATTGATTTACAATTGTATTTACATCCTAACACTAATAATATTAAAAGGCATTCATTTAGTCGAGCAGATGCAGTCAGTAACTATTATCAATAAAGGCGGATTTACAATATGACATTAGGCCAGCGTACCGTCAATTTTTAATCAAAAACGTGGACGATTTGACCTTTTGACGCATGCTTTCCGCTGGAATAGAACCAGATTCTATTCCAGCGTCAACGTAACGTCAGGACTAGCGTAATATTGTAAATCCGCCTTAAGTATACACATACTGTTAATATACTGTGTCCATTATAGGCTGTATAATGACAGTAATAAAGGAACAGTTCAATATTCCTGATACTACTGAATGTAGACTGTGGCAGCATTACATGTCAGGAAATTATGAATTATTAACTGATGTTGAACAAGCAATATCAGATGCTGGTATATATGGGTCACAAGTCAGTTGATTTTAATATAAATATTTTAATGACAAATTTTTATCACTATGTAGAAGATAGCATTGGAAATAAGAAATCCAGATGGCACATGGCCAAAAAGCAAAACTAAATGATTTGGAATATTGTGCTTTATCTTTGCTCAAATCATAGTTAGAATTTTATTTTTTAATAAGTACTGAACTATAACTAACTAAATTTATTTTTGGTTAACAGATTTATGTTCATAAGTTTGATGTATAGTTGTGATGGATTTGTAGCTTATCTGTCACTTGTGTATCATATAGATCTAAAGTCAAAGGAAGTCATAAATCTAGTTATTATAGCCATGGGCACTCTCCATAGAACTATTTCCTGTTATGTGGTTGCAAAATGGATAGGGCTCAACTTCAGCCCTTACTCTTGCCAAATTTA